TGCAACAAGCTCAAATAATTAACAGCTCATCTGGGAGTTGGATGATCCCATCCACAGAGCAGGAAACACCTTATTCTGTCCTTGTTCTATGGGTTGATCCAATTGGGTGTTAGACTGAATTCCTGCAATAAACCTAAGGCTTCCCACAAGAGCCCAGACACACCCACTGAAAGCTGACCACCAGGGAGTCCCCACTGCTTCAGGCAATGTTTGCTGATCTTCCCTCATCAGCATCTCTCTTCACAGCTGGAGACAGGCCAGATGGCTTGGTGTCTCTGCTGTATTTACATTGCACTTCTTGGGTAGACTTCTTTCAGCCTGCATACCAGAAATACCCATAATACTGTCTACATAACAGCACTAGTACCCAAGGTTACACATTGCAAGTTGCATGAGAATTAAAAAAGTTGAAAGTTTTTGAGTCTTAGCTACAAGGTTGTTTGAAAAAAAAATTATACATGTCAAAACTACAGTAACCATACTGGTAGGTTTTGTTCTCTGAGATAAATGTTGTTTGGAACTCAAAAAATCAATTGTAAAATTTGATCATGTGGGAAGGAAAACTGACGTTTGAAGTTGAAAATGTCTTTGTCGGCTTATTGTATTTAGCGGTACACTGACATACACGTACACAGAGTGTAAAATGTGACCAGATAAATGGAATGTACATGTACAGGTGCACATCATGATACATACACGTACATGTAGGCCTAATGTATTGTACCAGGTCTCATCAAAATCTCAGACCTGATAATGGTGGATGCTCTGTTACAATGTGCGTGTAGGTGAAATCTCATTAGGAGCCTGAATGTGTGCATGCAAGCCTAGAACGTACTGGTATGGAAACTCTCTTTGTACGTACACACATGTAATGTACACGTACATAAATGTACATGTATGTAAATGGTTCGTGTGTGTACATGCAGAATCCAGGTTGATCCACCCAGAAGCATCATTGTAGTTTCTCGTGCCAGTAGGATTCATCCTAACTGAGGGCTGTACAGACGATTCATTGATTACCGTACTGGTAAATACCTGGACTCACAGGCACAAAAACCAGTAGAATTTATTGAGTTCTCAAACTGTGACTGATGCCATTCACTTCAGCATGGAGCTTTCAGTAATGCTGCTTTTCAAAGTAGAATCCATCAGAGAAAAGCTTGTGTGTGAAAAGCCCTTCAAAATGGGATAGGTTCTGACAAGTGGTTAGCCTTGGGCCCACTTTTTTTGCAATGCCCAGCCCACTCTGTGCAGCATACACTCTCACTGGCCCAGATCCTACTATAATGGCATGGTCCTTCCTGTCCTACCAGTACCCATGGTACCAGGTACGATGTACATGTATAGATGATAATGAAACTCCACATGTCTATAAACTACATTTTATGTATAAAAATGTAAACCTTGACATTATTTTTCCAGAGCACAATTATGTATACTACATGTACATGTACGTGTATCTTCGCCAAACTACACGTGAACTCGACTCTTTCTGTTACTCTTCAATGTCACAAAAATTGTTGGTGGAAAAAGTTGGGTATAATACATGATTATATTGGTTTGTATTACAACTTTAATAAAACTTTCTCACCATTCGGTAAGATTGAAGTAATTTTAGCCAGTATTACTGGTGTCGCCCATGCCACCTGAATACACCAGTACAGTGTATGTATATTGTACCTGTGCACACACTGTGTACCCCAAGTATGGAACACAAGTAGCTTTGTCATCATTTCATATCTCGATAACCACACAAACAAATATGGGAGGAGTACATCTGTCACAACAAATCTGACAGCTGCCCAAACCCACTGTCTTCTCGCCAAGGCATCCTGTTCCTGGACTCGTTTAACATTTTTTTATGCCCCATAAACCCAGAAATTCTCAGAGGGGGATTTTGTCAGCTGTTGTTGTTACTGGCAGTTTTTTTTCACTCACTTTGGCCACAGATCTGTGGAGCCACACAGGTGAGGAACGTTAAAGTGACCCTGTGATTGATGGGTGGAGTCAGGCCAGAATAACTTGTGAGACCTAACTGAGGGAACAATTGCACACTTATGGTATGCTACCAGTACATGTACTGTACATCTGCATTAAATTGAGTTTCAACACAAGGGGTCCCTAGACAAGTTGGGGTGGTTCTGACAACTTCTGCCATAAGAAACAAGGCAATGGAATTTTCTCAGAGCCATTTTCTTCTGAATGTTCTTCAGTGTATGAAAACGAAGTTGAAAAAATGTTCACTACATGGTACTAGTGGGCTTTCGTATTAAAGTGCTCTTTTTAAAATATTCAAAATCGGCCAAACTTTTCCAAACAAGTCAGGGTGCTGTTAAGTGTGATGTAAATTGGGGAAGACACTTTTCAGTTGGCATGTTTTCATGTTCCAATTTTGAACCTTTAAACATTTCTCAGAAAAGATTACTCACTGGCGATCTCCTTAAATGGAGACTGGCATAAAATTTGTACTCCATGAGGTGGCAGGCAGCGAGATGGTGCTAAGAGAATAATTGTTTACAATGTATCATAAGTGTAGTATATGTTTTGTATTTATTTCAATTAGTTTGGCGAGCCCCTTTGACAGAATTAATTTCTTTTGGGCAATCCTTCGGGGGCTGATTGGAATATTCTTTGTAATTATTATCTTCTCGTCTTACTGAGTTAGTATTTGTTTATTGTAACTTGTTCTTCCCGAGAAATGAAATAAATGAAATGAAAATGAAATAAGAGCTTACATGTAGCTGTGTGGTGGGCTGTTGGCTACAAGGAATGGCAAACGGTCTTTGGTTATTATGAATTACCAGCTCAATAATAGATGTACCGGTACATGTATGTAAAACAAAACCAAAACAAAGCAAAAAACACATTATGCCTAGGCTATACATGTACATGCATTTATGGCACTTTGGACTGGATTCCCTCTGCTACTGATCAATACGCAGTATTGGAAACAGGAACCAGACTAGCATGTTATGAATGAATCCCAGGCTTTATTTCCCCTTGAAAAAAATTCCACCATGGGTATGATTCTACCAAAAAGAAATGAAAAGTATCTAAGGAGTATAAACCTATAGGATTTGATTGAAAATGGAAATTAATAGTAAACTTCTCCGCTATGGTTTCTAACTACATGTACCATATCATATGAACCTTGTTCACCACAACAAACATGTACATGTACACTTTGATTTCAGTTTTGGAGAGCACCATCACAGGAAGTATCTTCAGTAATTCCAGCCCTAGTGATCATGACATGAGGGTCATGTCCCAATGGATGAGTTAGGATTGCACTCAAGTTACCAAAGTTACTAAAGCTACCAGCACAGTCTGACACTTGAAGTGCCAAAGAAAGATAACGTCCACAATAATCCTGCCCTCAACCCCTCTTACTCTTTTATTTCACTGGTGACAGAAACCATGAAAATGTACATGTAGGCCCCTACATGTACATATGTAGATGTTTTTCTCATCATGGATGCTACCGCAGTGGGTACCAGCACGTGCCTTTCTTCATGTTTAACATTACCTACATACATACACATTGTACGTTAGTAGACATCCCTAGTGTGGCACACTGTGACTTTCACTTGACTTTCCTCATACAGTGTTGCCAAACATCCGGTTGAAAAAAATTCAAATTCATTTGATTAAATTGGTACTATAAATGCCTAACATGTTTCATGCTGTTGAACCTTTGTGAACAACTTCAGTGTCATGAAATTCCGTCCAAAATGCAAAAACATTCCCATCCGAAAATTGGGCAAGAATTCGGTTTAGTGTTCCCTAAACACATATACAGGGCCGTTTGTATACGTATTCCTCCATCAATACTGGCAGAGTACATGTACGGTACATGTACATGAAGGGCCCTTGTTTACTGGTGTAAGTGTTCCTTACCCCAGAACGTGACACTTGAAAAAATCTCAGAAAACCACACATACACGTACATCTGAACATTGAAGAAATTCTTTAAAGTTGATAAATTCTAATAAATTATCATTACTTCCAAATACTGTACATGTACCTGAACACAAGTTTGTTTGAAATTTTTTTATATTTTTGAGTGCATTTTAAGAGTTCAGTTCGCACTTTAGAAAAAAATTGGAAAATCGATCCAAAATAAAATTACCTCCGAACTTTGTAGCAGGTGAGTAAAATTGATATGTGCGCGAAGTGTGCCATGGGGGGGGGGGGTTAAGGGCTGTGCCATGTACTCCTACATCAGCAGCATGTGTCTACATGTAGGGTGTACACTGCCAACTTGAACTTCCCCAACGGTAAGGTAGGCCTACTGTCTACAGAGTAGTACATGTACCTTACCGTTCAGGAAGTATACACTGTCCTCCCCTGCCCCCTACATGCCCCAGTCAGCAAGTAATTTAGTATAACCAAGGAGTTTGTTTTAGCTCTACTAAGTTGAGTGTTAGTATTCCTCTTTTTCAACTTTTGGACTGGATCCGATCAATCGAAGAAATTCTTTAAAGTTGATAAATTCTAATAAACTATCATTACTTCCAAATACTGTACCTGACCACAAACTTGTTTGAATTTTTAAAAATATTTTTGGGTGCATTTTAAGAGTTCACTTTGCACTTCAGAAAAAAACGGATCCGATCCAGTCTAAAATTCGAAAAAGAGGAACACTCCACTCAGTAGCTACCTCTATGGTAGAGCTAAGTCTGTTTAATGTTAGCTCCACGGCATTATTATTACCGAAGATTAAAAAGACAATTTAAAAAAAAAAAAAAAGATGTTCTGAATAAAGAACGAAATACTGAATCAAACATGGCTTTCATTAGTCTTTATGGAGTCTGCATAATATTGAGTTAAAAAGACAAACAAACAGATTATATCACAAATGTAACTTTGTCACTACGTGAAATCGTAGAGCAATGCCAATGGTGAAATATCAAAATTTGTCGCGGCGATAGGCCTACATCATTCGTAATCAATCGATCGTCATACATACATACATGTACATGTAATTCTAATTGTCTTACCTGTACCTCTCCTGTCCTGTTGGCTAATGCCCGGCAGGAGTGTGCATGTGGCTTTGTGACAGAGTGGATATCGATACACTGTACTTGTGTGGTACCATGAAATTCTAGTGGGAAGGAACACCTGATAGACATCACACCGGTAACCCTTTATAACTCGCAGAAAACACGGAAAAAAACCACGGTGCATATGTGTGCACGGGGGCCTTGTCAAACACTTGTTTTGACCATGTTTTGACTTAATCGGTCATCCTCGCGCGCCAGGCACCAGCTGCAGCTGCGTCAGATGCTCGTCACATTGTAGCTGAAGCTCAGATACACAGGTTACTTATGTGGCCGGCCGGCCGGGTGCACGTGCCTAATGTATAGCGCCCTCTGGGCGCCGGGCAGAGTTGGATGGTGTCGGTGACGTGTTGAGACTATACTCCGAGTTTCTCGAGCTTTTCAAAGACGTCAACCGATACCGTCCTAAAAATCACCCGAGTGTGGAGTTTCTGCGCCCCCTGACATTTTGAAATATTGCTATATTCCTGACAAACTTTCTAGCTCAGCTTATGTTGAGAAAAAGACACACACACACAACAAAGAAAAAAACCCAGGCCATAAAAGCTTTTGAGCGAATCTTGATCGCGTATTCTTTTGACCTTTTGGTCTGATAACCAAATTTTGTGTAGGACCCACTTTTAATTATTTTGGGGTGCGCAAAGTCGTTGGTTCAGCTCATTTCAAACTTCCAATATCCCTTTCGATCGAAAGTAAGGTCCTATCATGGATCATTATCCGAGGTATACAGGATATTATACAAGCCTCTCCTTTGTACTGTGGAACAAAATAGTTGGAAAAGTACCTAAAAATATAGCACCAATACCACTTTTTCACGCATTAGGAGTTATGTTCTCTTGATGTTATACTTTCATCAGACGTATTTTGTTCGCATTCTCCCAACATTCTCGAACTCTGTGTATGTACATACGACCTTTTCCGGGTTTGTTTATCTTGGATCAGGTGTACGTATATTTTTTTTGGGGGGGGGGTTGAATTAGCTGCACACTGTAGGCCGTATTCAGCCTCTTCTCCGTCTCACATTTGAAGCAAGATATGTGACAGAGAGAACCCCCCGCCTTTGTGTTGGTCATTGTTTGATCGGAATCTCAGGAATTCTTTACCGACTTCGGGGGGGGTGTATTAGGTAACAATGGTCTAGAGTGTGTATAGGGATTGGACAGGTAAGGGGGGGGTACCCCTCCGTCCCATATTTTGCCTGGTATACCGTCTAAAGTTCCTTACCAATCGATTGCAATCCCAAACTGCTAAGCAGAAATATCTCATTGGGGTAAATATTCAAACTTAATACACTTCAGATATATATGTAGACAGTAGAGCGCTTGTGTTGTAATGGGTACTTTAATATAATTAACAAAAGGAAAGCCACGTCCATGTTGACATATTTTTAGGTTACAGTCGTCAACATTCAGCCACTTTTTATCATTTGAAGCCACTTTAGAATATAGCGAACTGTCCGGAAAGTTTCATATGGGGATTCCCCTGTACACAAACCTTATGAGACTGGTCTGAAAAATTGGAAGTGTTCCCAAAGTAAACGACTTGTTTTTTCCCTCCTAAATTACACATTTCGGACATGATTTTGCTCTCTGGCGGCTAACGGGTCACCATAAGGAATAATTACTGACGTCCGTACATGGAACTCTTCCCAACAGGGCCTATAAAAAGTACATTAATCAATTTGTGCGACCTCCAAATTTAACATAAGTTGGCATGTTTGCCTTGAATGGGCTTGGCTCACTTTTGAATTTAATGCCATAACGTTTTATGTTTTTGTGAGTAGTAATTCTTTATTCAATGACATCCAGAGTCTCAAGAGATAAGGGTGACCGGCAAAAAACGATACCAGAAAAAAGAACATTTCTCATGTGCCAACTGTGGCAAACCAATGTATGTATTCAGCTGAAATGGTACAGACATTGGACAAAGCATTCTGTCCGAAATGTCAAGTACCCTTCGGTTCCTTAACCTCTTGAGAGCGGACGAAAAAAAAAGACTGGGTATGACTCTTGAAAATAAACAAAATTGGGAACTGGTGGAAAGGGGACACCAGGTCCTGTAACTCCCTTCCCCTATATGACTCTGATATTTTGGTATAGTTTGTTTCAGGGATAATCGCTCTTAGGGGCAACTTTTACTTGGGCATGATAGCGATCAGCATGTTCTGCCATTATCAATGTGCCAGCCAATACATTATTATACTTTTCCAAGATGAAATTTCACAATTCCTACACATTTGCTAATTACTCTACAACCATCACACAATAACCGATCCTAAACAACTCCCCAGACTACGCTAAAGCCTGCAAACAACTGCACTTATGACTCCCGCTCAATCACGCCATCTTTGAAACAGCTTTATATGATTTAAGTCAAATAAATAACTGTGCGACTTTTACCCATGAAAACACAATCAGTTTAAACTCTTTCCTTCTCTTTTTAGTGGCTGTAAATCAAGCACTGCTACTGTCTACCAGGTCAAGCATTACCCTGTGCTGAAATTATGGACTCTGGCTAGAAGTACACATGCTCCTATGGACGCCAAGAGCTAGCAGCTGCAACATTTCACATACATTTGTGCGTTACTGCCAGCAACAGCGAAGTACTTTGAGCATGACCTCAGAGAATGGCAAGAACAGGGTTTTCTGAGTGACCTCTGGCTGTTGGGGTCAAGTTGATTTGAAAATTAATGTTATTGACATCGCACATGAAGGCATCACAATACTGCACAGTAGGGAAAACTAGACCAACTAGACAACTGGAAAATAAGATCTCAGAATTTTTAAAGAGTTGGCTGTTGGAAGGTCACCTGTCTGGGCACATTTTACACAACAAAAGCAATTAGTCTGGTCGGTGAAAGTTTCATTAGTGAAAATCATTTGCATCAATTTTGATAGAAATTTAGGTTAGGCGCTTTATGATTATCACCTAGGGCTATGCATGGAAGTTGTCTTGAACTGTTTCCAACATCTGCAGGAGCTCACAAGGCTTGCAGAACAATCAAATCTGTAAGGTTGAGACACCTGTTGCCATGTGGCGGCCAAAGAATTATGGTAATGTGTCCAGCTTATGGGCATGAGAACCACAGCAAGGCTGAAAATGCCACATAAAAGACAATGCCTCTGTATGTGGCATTAACAATGTAAACCACACTGTAATAACATAGTTCTGCTTCACATGTGAAAATGTGAAAACAGACTTTTGACAATAGAATATGAAGATAGCTTTGCCTGATAAATTTTAATAAAGTAAATTAGTCCATTAATTCGACCCTTCCGCCTCTTCATCTGGTTCCCCTTCCTTCCCCTCACTCTCCTTCCGCTCTCTCTCGCTCCTCTCTGCTGTGGTCTGCTCAAAGAAGTAGTCAAACGCAAAGTTCTTCTCCTTTGGCGCGAGCGCCTTGAATTCTTCAGCTTCTGTAATGACCTCAATCTGAAGACATAAAGAGAGAGCTCCAATTGCTGAAGGGCTTGAAGCAGAATTTTAGGTGCTTAATATTTTGTGTCACGACGTTGTTACTTCTGTAAGTCACAGAGACATTAAAAGTCTCTTTTTTCACTTTTGGGATTCCTTGCGAAGTCTTGCTCAGTTTTGCTCGCTTGTGACACGGTAAGGTCACAAAAATAGAAAACCTGTGCACCTCAGATCTTGAAAATTATCCTGTTACATGGTTGATGTGAGAAAGTAGGATCAGAGATCAATGGCATGTAAACTGACCTGGGCTATGAACTCCTGCTCACTTCCATCCTGTAAATTCAGGTCGGTGATTCTGTTGAAGAGCTCTCTGGGTGTGGCCACATTTGGGACACCTCGATGTGTGAAAAACTAAAAAAAAAAAATATACTGAAGGTCACCCTTTGCTTTACACATAATTTATCAGGGGACAACCTGGGGGGAAGGGGTTATGAGTAGCATAGCGGCCACTGTTGGAAGGTTGTAATTACGTCATTTGGGGGCAAAATCTACTGGAGGCAAGCCGGTCTGACATCACTCTCTTGAATAAAACACATTCAATAGCAGATTAAGATGAGAGGGTCACTCTCACTGGGCCAATCAAATGCCACAACACTCACATTTGACACGTTGGTGCAGTCGCGCAGCAGGAATTTCAGCCCCTCTGGATGGAAGGGCTTCACCGATTGGCTGACGTCGATGAACCAGACTTCGCGATTAAACCACATCATGTTGTATTCACTCAGGTCGGCATGGACGAGTTGGCACTGCTTGTACATCTTCTCCATCATCTGTTGGACAATACCCATCAAGCATTGTCAATTTTCACACTAAACCACACCTTGTCCACTGCTAACAACTTGCTGCCGGGTGGATTTTCTTGAGCAAGACAAGATGCCGGCTCATTTTCAAGATTTTCCGTTTTCTAAGTTCTTCAAGAATTCATCATTTCATTTAATGGCCGTTTATACCAAAATGAAGGACTCTTTGTGCACTGTTCTAAAGCTGACAGGTAAAATTCATTGACTCCTGAATATTTCAACCAGGCCTGCAGCCTTGGAAAATGAGCCCAGATTGTGCGGTGTTACGTAAGATTCTTTTGTTCCCAAAACCGGCACAGTGCACTGCTGGCCTCTTTTCAATAGGGGCCAGATTAGCGTGCAGCGGTGCTGTGTGGCTCATGGCTACGGTGGTGGAGAACTTTTGTCCCTGGTGGTAATCCGCTCGCTCTAAACACCTCAAACCGTGGTACACCGTTTCAAAACAAGGCTGGATTATCTCCATTACTGAGAGCGAAAAAATGTCAGTAGAGCCCCGCAGCTCAGTCTTTTGTGCTGAGCACGGTCTTTTGTTATAAAGCCCAACTCTTTTGTCCCAGTTCCGGGCTCCCTGGCTCTGCATATAAAGCCTATGTACTCGAAAACGGGTCGCCCGGCAGGAAGTGGTTAAATATATGCTGGGTTGGTGCTAGGTACGTTTAAGACCTGCTGGGCTTTTGGAACCTGATAAGTACTAAAGCTTAAATTCATACGTACATAGCATAATTCATAACATTCATAAGTAAACTTTCGAGGAATTCAGCAAAACCCCTGAATACATTTGGACTTAAAGTTTGCTGTTTCACCATTTTGTGTAATTTTCTCCTACCATGTTCACGGGCCACTGTCAAATGACTCGTTTCTGCCTCTATCACTCTTCACAACAAGATAATTTTAAAAAAACCAACTAGACTGTCAAGACTAAAATGACCATTACTGCAATTGGTGATCCAGAGGGTCATTTAGCAAGAAAAAAACACATTTTGAAATTTTGTACACCTGCAATTGCTCTTCTCAGTGCAATTTGTAAATTACAATTCATTTCAAGTGGTTTTCACCACTTTCTGCCGGGTTGGTTGCCTTATTAGTCTACAAAGTTATCAAGACTGTTCTGCACAGCAGAGTTACGCATACAGCTTCAAAAGCCTTTCAGGCATTTCTCATAGGAAACCAATAGGAACACCCATTTAGCTGCACCACGCATGTGCTTGCTGTTTGGTGGTTCAACCACTCACTGAACAACATGTACACTCTCTACCAAGAAATTACACAGGACTTTGTTAAGTGTTTTGTGGTTTATAACAGCCTACATTAAAATTAAACAAGAGGAAGTCTGCTGATCTTAGAAAAAGTTGCCCTAGCTGTTAACCTCTTCTCATGTAAAAGACGCCGTAAAAATTGAGATCCCTCAGCCCGCTTTTCAGCTATTATTCTCGGCCCACGCTCGAGCGAACACAGTGAAAGAAGGCAGACCCTGGCTCTTGTGTATATGGTGATTGGCCTTTGTGTGTAGCCCAGAAATGAAAAGACCGAATTTGCATCATAATCACCAGCTTCACAATAGTCCCCACTTTGAAAACAACCAGCCTTTTCACTATGTAAATCAGAGCATCAGTGCAGAACATGCAGGGCCACAAACCGTGAATTTGCGGTTTGTCAGGTGGCCTTCGTGGCCAAGAGAGGCTGGAATTCTCGGATTCGGCTTTCAGAAAAAAGTCCCGCCATCAAGGGGTTAAGACTGTCAAATTCACTGAGGGTGAAGCTGTACAAGAAAGCAAGAAAAGGGTGTCTCTCATTACCTTGAGCTTTGTGTAATAGATTGTCTGAGAGCTGAACACTGACCTCTGTGCATTGATCATAGGCAAGCTGCATGTCTTCTGGGGACAGCTGGGCATCCTTCAACTTGGGTGCAGCTCTCTGGTGCTCGCCAATGAAGGACATGACCAGGAGGTGCTTCTTGAGAAGGATGACCTCGGGGCAACGGATTCCGGCCTTGCGCATCCTGGAAGAAATATCCCACCAAAATTGGGGAATTAGTTTGCCAAATATGTGGATTACAGACTTCTGCCACATGCCAACAGTTCATAGGGACCTAGTGCTGTAGTCCGGCTTACCACAAGTCCCTGCAAGTCCATGAGTCTTCCAGTCTTAATAGACCAAGTCACATGCTATTATAATATGCAGTTGCAAAAGCATTCTTTGTCACTGTTTACCTATACCACATCACTCATGTCTGATCTTGCAAAAGGACTTGTGATGGTCAAAGTTTGCAGAAATACAGGCCTTGGTTGATGTCAGGTGTTGGCTCAAAATGTACAGTTTGCCACATACTATTAAAAAGGACCATATTTTAGCATAGTACATGTATTTTTATAATGTTTGTTATTTAGTATATTGATAGTTGTGTAGGATTTTTCTCCACACTTTGTGGATTAATCAGTTGCTTTTATACTGATGGCAAACAATCTAACGAATAAACACTTTCTCAGGAAGTGTCTTGGTCTACATGCATTTGACAGTCAACGACTGAAGCTTACTACTTACATGTTGAGGTTCATTCTTTCTTTGTCTGCCCACATGCCGATGATCTTGCGTGGGTTCATGCGACTCAGTGCATCGGGCAGGTACCTGCGTCGAGTCCGGAACTCGTTCAGTGTCGTCTTGAAGACTTTGAGGGCACACTCTCTCGGGACTAACAACCTCTGGTGCCTGGAGTGGGCGGACAAGAGAAGGAATCAGAAAAGATGAGTTCTCCATATATGTCACCTGTCCGGCCCGTTTCACTCATTTCAAGAAGGGACAGTTCTGCTGATGTGGAAAAATTACAGATTTGTAGAAGATCACAATACGAATTCACTTCTTGGTTAAACCACAAAGTAGATGTAAGTCTCTGCTACAACTTCAATATATGAAACAATACATGAAACCAGCATTTCAACTCAACTCCTTTAAAGCCTTTCCGAAATGTACATGTATGTTTGAGTATATCACAGAGGTGACATATCAGTATTTCTTGAGAAAAATGGAGAAAATCCCATTTACTGAGACGCCCTTTTCCCAAACACAGTTTGCCTGTGTCATGTCTTTTCCTAGGATCCAGGAATGATTCCAAAAGTAATCACTGTTAGAACCATATGATAGACAGTCGGATGTTTCTAGAGGACAGTGGAGCTGTGAGAAAGAAATGGTTATCTTGATTAGAGGGAACTTCAATTAACAAAACCTAATCTCGAAGCTGGACTTAGAGCCATAGCTACTGGTCAGGAAAACCCCCCTCCCCGGGTACTTACTGGCCTCCGTTGGCATGAAGCACTACGGCCTCTTTCCCAGTGCTGATTGTCCCATTCACTGACTCCAAGATGCCATTGTTGACCAACTTGTAGAGTAGCAGCCTGGTGTTGGGATCCATGGCCATGACCTACAGTGGACACAAAATAAGCTTCACACTACAATCCACTTGGGACAATTTTGAGACTTACCAAAGCCTCACCAAAGTATTAACGTAAAGACACAATTGGGGCTCACCGCGGTGGAGTGCTCCTTCTTCTCGTGCACTCGGTGCGTCTTGCGCTCTGCCGTCTGGCTGTGCTGCTTGAGTGTGTTGAACACATTATTGGGTAGCTTCATGTCCATACCCACGTCATCTCCGCTGTTGAAACCAGGCGGGAACTGAAGCCAAAGAAAGAGATGAGGGGGGAAATGGAGAACAGTGTGGAAGCGCATAGATGTACCTACAGCAGCGGACAAGAATATAGTTTGACCATGAGTCAACTGTTTTTTTCACAACGCGAATGCGCAATGCGGTCACATTCGAAGGACTCTACGTGTCGTCAAACTATTTTGTTAAAATCCCATTGTCATTCACATTTTGCTGTTGGCTGTAACCCTAAGGCCATACATGGTCAAAGACTTCTTATATAATTATTTTCCTGTGAATACATGTAGTTCCCTCTGTACTGATTAACGTGGCTGCTGATAACCAGTAGGCTTGGTTCCAAGTGGTCAACTACCAGGTAGATGGTCCAGACCATCCATCATCTGAGCGACAGTGGAGGAAACATAGTTAACCACAGTCATCACACAAACTTTTCCCAATAAAAATAAAAAATATATGCAAAACTTTATCACCGGGGGGGAGGGGTTTGAGAAGGAATGTAACAACTGGTCTTAAACCTGTCTACGTGTGTTAGCCCCTCTAAAGGAGTTTGATGTTTGTTGGCCTGTAACTTGGACCTTTGCAATGAAGTAGTCTTAGTACAAGCCGGTCTTATAATAAATTAACAATTGGCCTGCCTGTGCCTAGCTTCAAATGGTCTCAAATGTTTTACTTCTCAAACATGTATTTTGGAAGTTAAATAATCTAAACAGAGGAACACTATATAAATAGAGAATACTGCAGAATAAAAAGGAATCCTTGAGAGAAAAATGACACCAAATTGAATTGCAAATATAAGTTTCTTTGACACGGAGATTGATATTTGAAATCTTAGTTGTGGAGTCCCAGAAAACCTTGACAGCGACATCACAAATACATGTCCATGTACAGTACCGATACGATCACAATTAATTCTAATGAAACATAAAAAATTCAAATAAGCTTTTTCTCAATTTCAATTGCTTACTTTCTCCATAACTTTGGATGCATTCTTCCTGCCACAGATCACTGCGTCATGTTTTGTGGTCATGGTTCCGTTCTTATCCTTTGTGGTTGGGGTTTTCTTGGGAGAGGATACTCCTGCAGAAACATGCAAAGGACATTGTTGTTGATTACAAATACTCCGTCAGTGAGGTCACCAAACGCATACGAAACAGAGTATTAAGTGCAACACCTCCCGCACATATTCTGTATTCCTTGGTATACTTCGAACCAGTGTACCACTTATGACGTCCCCCATATACTTTTAGTTCAGAAAGTCATAGATTATGGATGTCTTCAGTCGTTCTTCTTATATTCCTAAGGACGTGTTATAATTATTATGCATGTCCTCACTAGTCCTACTCAGTGCATTCCAAAGACCCTAGCTTTATGCATAGTCAGTTATCAATGCAGTAGTGCTGTCCCTATTATTTAACATCCTCAATCACCTTTTTCAGTGTACTCCCAAATATCGTCATCATCGTCATCGCTGTCACTGTCGGCGTAAATAGCCGGGTTCTCGTCCTTGCCTATGGCTGGATGTACTGCGCGAAAGTTGGCATAGGAGATGCTCACTATACATTGGTTGATAGAAAGAATACCAGGAACCAAAGTGAATCGGCTGCACTCGTAGGAGAATTAACGACTGAGGACCTGTAGATCCTTTGGACAGCAGTTTTGTACTGCAGCAGCTATAATTTTTCAAACTTTTATGCACTGACCCGATTTCCTTTAAGCCAATTATGACTTAAATGTACCGGTATTTCACGTACATTACGCACTGTTTAGTTCCCAACTTGTGTGACAAATGAAGTCATAACACATGGAATAATTTTAGGTGGAATTAGTTAAACCGAGCAAATAAAAAATGAACAACTTTTCAAAACTTCAATTTGACTAAAGCTAATCATTTATCACATATAAAGGATTATGGAAATGAACAACTTTGCTTTTTTGGAGGTAGTGAGAAATTTATTTGGCAGTGGGAGCACATTAAGACTTTCTACCCAGTTTCAGTGAGAAAAAGATAATTTTTTAAAGTGGAAAGCAGTGCTACATGTAGCATGGCAACTGTTTAATAACTACTGTAACATTGAAGAGGAACAGCTTTCGTAACTACAACACTGTGCAGCTAAGCAACATTTTGTGAAATTGATTGTAAGTACACTGTACAGTCACAGCTACAATGGTACACCACAAATTGGTCATGCAAGGCATTCACAAGGCGCAAACTTGCACAAAGCTTTGTAAAATTGGCTGTGGGTGTCTTTTACGGACTTTGTTGGCTATGTGTCTCCAATGCAGTTGAGTTCCTATTCAACTGTACTTACTATTCAAACCTGATGTCGTGTGAACGATTTTGCCAAGCTTTTTCCCTGCAAACCTGTCCAGCACTAGGCAGCCAAGTAAATGTACTTGTATGCTCCTATGAAGCGTTTATAACCCTGCACGAGATGACACGAAGCCTAATTGCAAGTACCTTTGCTGTTAGCATTCTTCTTTTTCTCTTCCACGGCCAGCACGGCGTCGTGCTCCTGGTCAAACTGCAGCTGCAGCATCTGGGCGAGGAGGAGGTCACTGTCTGTGCCAGCATTGCCGCCACTGGTGTCCAAGGACAGGGCATACTCATAATCAGTCAAAGGTCTGAGGAGGAAAGATGGAATATTTATTACATATTTTGGGGACAAGCAGGGGTGCTGTAATAAGACCAGTTTATGGGCCAATATGAATGTAACATGATTAATGTCATATGTACAATGTAGCTCGCTTACATCTTGCTATTACACAAAAATTACATGTACATGTATGGTACTATTTGCCAAGCAAACTTTTGTGAAGCAAATTGATTTGTAACAAAGCTTGTGTGGTGGAAATATGACCACCTTTGGCAACTTTGTGATGCAAATATTGCCCCTCTTATAACTGACTGGCTTTACGTTGAGCGTGAACTGGCATTGAGTCTTTCTGAGATTTGTTCAAATAAAAAGACCTGCATTTGACAATGTACCCAACTGCATACATGCATCTTCTCTACCACTACCACAACTATAGCATCATGAATTAAAGGAATGCAAACATCTATGGACACTCAGGACCAAAGCATTTCTAAATACTTTCCCTGTGATCCATTCCAGGAAAAGGTGATGTAAATGGAAGTCAAGCTACTTGTACATGTACATGAAGGGATATGTACATGTACCCATATACCTTTCTGAGCAATGGCCCACTACTAGCATGGCTAAGTGGAGGTGGAGTGGAACTTGTTAAGTTTCAGGTTTTATGTTTGATAGGAAGATTTGAGGTAAGTCTTCCAAGCAACATGGAAGTCTGTATTAGACTCGACGTTTACAAAGCCTACTTTCTAAGTTGTGTTAAGTTAAACTCTGTGGAATGAATTCATATCCAAAAATGCTACATCACCAGAATGGAATGGGCAATTGAACTCTTTTATACCAAATAAACGCTTGCACAGTGTGGGCTTATCGGTCATGAAAACTCATTGTACTTCGCACAATGGGTCCCAAATCCCTTGAAGTATTACTACACAGAGTATGTCATTGGTTTCCTGCACAGTAGCATCTTTGGAAGCATTCAGGAAGGCTCTAAAGCAAACAAAAAGGGGGAGGGGTTGGCAATAAGTCTCACCCTTGTGCTTGTAACTGACCACCTGGATCAAGCTTCGTTGTTAGCGCTTCCTCGTCCTTTTGTAACTTCTTGGCAAACTCTTCATCCATCACGCTGGCCAAGGAGCATGCTGGTCTTGTTGGAGCTGCAACCTTCCACGGATTGGGCGCCGGGGACACACAGGGGACCGGTGTGACGACTTTACCAGTGGAAGACATAGTGCAGTGTTTGTGCTTTCTGTTTGTGTGATAGGGGTGATCTATGCTTCAAACTAAGTAGGTACCTATAGTACATGTTGAGTACAGGGGGAAAAACACCAACAATTTGAAGAAAAGTAACTAACCAACTCTCTCAGTCTGCAGAATTTTTCTAAATTTCTCCTGGGGGCAGATAAAGTCAAGGATCTCACCAGCCAAGTTTGGGTTAGGCTCAGGCAAATCCACACCTTAGCTTAATGGAATCAATGCTGAACTTGTGGTAAAAGTGCATAACGTGTAATTTTTGTTGAACGAGAAAATAAATTAATATTCCAAAATTAAGTTACTGTGTACATAATATGAGATTTCTTACAAAATGTCAAAATTTCAGTGAAGTACACTGTAAAACTCTTGATAATAACTAAGGCAAAGTGGCAAACCTTACATTTACAGTAGTAATTTGGTAAAGCATCAATGAAAGTGATGTTATTGTTAACGTTTGTTTTGTTTAACGACTCCCTTTCTAATAATACTCAGATTCCATGAACTTTCTGTCAAATATGAAATGCTAAACTCCTTATTTTCATTCTCAAGGGTCCACACTGCTGCATGGCGTGATACATGTCAAGCATATGTGTACCTGTACAGATATGCTGCTTGTGTGTACATGTACATATATCCCTACCTGCAAACGTACATGTACTTGTCATACTTCTGTCTTGCATACTGTCTGTTCATTGGCCCAGAATGAACACATGATAGGGCGATATATCCGCATATCAATCTCACCGTGAGACATCTTGCTCTGCCGCTAGCACATGCTTGCACATAAGACAAAAGAGCTTTGTGGTTCTGTAAGTCACATCTGCATTCTGTGGCCGTACCTCACATGACAAAAAAAGGCGCAGCGCAACAGCTTAACAAGGGTTTACGTTGCTTTGGATTACCAGATCCATTAATTGTGACTATTCTCATTAAGATTATGTATACATGTAGAGACATCAGGGAAATCTGTGGTCAGGGAATTACAATTAATGCAGATGTGTACGGATCATCAAGGGATTCATAAGTCACGATGGTGGAAAAAAGCTCATTTTTTGCCAATAATGTAGGTTACACTCTCCAAAATACACACATGCCCTCAAGTTTCATATTATAGGTTCCCTTTTATCATGGGCTTTTAAGGGGAAGATTTGATCAAGAAAGCGCAAACAGAGGTTTGCTCTGGTACGATTGCAGGGCACTTTTCAAATACCGTTGCATAAGGAACCATGAAACATCAGGAATCAGTAAGGCCGTGGCAGTAGTGCCTTACTATTCAGGCATGTCAGCAAGTATAGACCTACATGACCCATATATCATATGACTATGACAGTATGAGGTACATATATACAGTGCGTAGCTATAGCTCATCCAGAAGCCATACATCATGTACATGCACATGCACGTGCCAGCAAGGCTTTTGGTTGTAGTGTGGCAGTATTATACTTTAAAAGTGTCTGTGCCTGGAGGTTTAAATCAAATAAGGAATAGGCCTAATGGAAAAATACCTCATCTCATGTCTCATGTGTGGTTTTGAAATTGCAAAATGTTGTTATTACAAAAATATTAGAACGCAAATCATCAGGTCGCGTCACGGCGTACATTAATAAACCGTTAAACGTACCAAATAAATGGCAATACCAAGAAGTAGACTAGTAGTAGTAGAACTGTTCACTGGTATGTTGCCCACGTTGAGAAACAAAGAGTATACTTGTGCCTCACTGCCGAATCTGTACTGTCTTTTATTAAAAGGCAACACGTTAAAGCAGTGTTAGGTAAGACCTACAAATAGTATTCGTAACTGTTTTACAGTGTTTACCACATCTTGTGCAATATTTTACGTACGTACCATGCACAGATCTTATAGCGCCGCCCAGCGGCGCCGCTATACGATCTTTGGATCTTTGGTACCGTGTTCATTTAGTCTGGTTCCCAGAACTTCACAAGATTCCCTCAACACCATCGGGATAATTCTGTCTGGGATCCAGACTAATTCAAAGCCTGTCCAGGATGCGTCCGAGTGTTACGGCTGTGGCTGTTTTAAATAAATAAAACGTGCCCCTATGGAAGAATGGAGGTCACTGTCCAGTTGCATGCTGCAGCAACGGCCGGGCACACCCGGCCGGCCCGGCCGACTTAGGGCAGTCCCGGCCCTAGACTTCACTTAAGTCTTGAAGTGGTACGGACTTCAAGTTCGTCGAGTTGCATCTGAAAGCGCGCTTTCATTTGTTAAAAACTGTACATTTTTAAATAGTTTTTCCTAGTCTTCTCTTTACATTTTTCCTAAGGGTTGCGAGCTACAGAGCCACAGGCGCGTTTCTGAAGAATCCTATATTACGGTTTCATTACTGAGACTAGAAACAAATGAAAGTTGTCTCAGTAGTGAATTTTCGTTCCTTAAAAATAGGACAGAGAAAATGGGTGTGGCTGAGTGTCACTTTTCGTTGTGACAGGTGAACCTAGAGTCCTTTCTGGCCAGTAGGTCCCCGTGAAGCCTTACCCCTGTTTAATTTTCTAGGACGATAAAGCTTCAAATTTGTTCAGCATTGGAAGTGCAGTTCTTTTTTAACTGTAGCGTGACTGTAAAACTTAATCGAATCAGCAGGTGGAATGCGACGTTTCAGGTGAGATTTCCTCCAAGCAATGCCGGGTCTTTCCGATTTGTGTCAGCAACTGTGTTCTGTTTTGTATATCATCATTAATTGTTTAACAAATGAAGCTGCTTATTTCATTCATTGAATTAATCAATAAAGAATTATTAATAGGCTCACCTTTCAGAAAAAAACTTTGAAAATGTAAACAAAATTGTTCAATTTTTATTCTCGTTTTCCAGACCTTATTTTTGCTCATCTCGTCAAGAATAACTTGATTACTTACTGGGAGCTGAGACAGTAAAAAGAACCAGCTTGGTCTGTCCAAAGTGTTGTTTCTCTTCTCTTAATCAAATAGTTTTATTGTTATATTTTACATGTTAATTAATAAACACCGAAGTTCAATAAACTGTGGCCAGAGAAGGGTTGAGACAGTTATTTCCACAATAGCTTAAATCCCATGAAAAAAAAACAAGCAATAATTTCCCCATTACCGTCCATAATATAATTAAAAAAACAAAAACAGACTGCAAGATTCTAGGAAAGTGCATGTATTATTTTTGTTTGTTTTAGAATGCGGACAGCTGGAATTTTGTTCGAGGAAAAATAGTTCGTAGATCCATACATGATGAAGTAATCCTTTATATAAAGTACAAATGACATACATATCCTAATACGAGAGTGAAAACAAATGTAATGGTATAACATTTGAAAGAGCTCTTTATATGTCAAATTCACTTCCTCTAGCGCTTTCTGTCTCTGTATTGCCAACCGACAGATAATTCAAGAGCCTTCTTGCCTTTCTATATGAAGTGTGTCTTGTCGAAAACATACTTTATCACTTGAAGTGTCTGTAACGACAAGAATTCAATATTATTGTTAGAAAGGCAAGTTTTCATGTTGTCAATACGAATATTCAAACTTGCCCTCAATTCGCCTAAGTAATATTTCCCCGTATATGTGTTCATGGCTTGGCAAGAGCTTGTGAAAAACCACAAACTTTTTTTGGAAGGAGGGGTCAAGCCTCGAATACCAGGCCACTTGCTACTGTAGTGCTGATCGACGTCTTGGCACTCGAATATTGAGATAGTCTGCTTGGCTGATCTATTGGTAGTGTGTATACAGCAAATTCGTTATCTGGTCAGTTTGAAAAATGCATAACTCGTCGTTTTTTGTTTCCAATTGGGCAAATGCTATTGGGCCCATCCAACCCCCCCACAAAAGGAGCTTTTTTTTAAAGAAATAGTGAAAGAAATTTTCATGAAGGGTATTTCATTTAACTTCGATTAAAAAGTGTGTAAAAAAGTCCCAAAGTTGGGCCTCAGCCCCCAAAAAGGCCATAAAAGAGCTGGCATTCGTGTAATCATGTTATTAATGGCAAGCATTTGGTATCGATTGGCAGCTGCTGCAGTATTTCTGTACATGCACTGTACATGTAATACTGTGAAAATGTAGTACACATGGAAATTGTTGTAACACGCGAAAGTTTAGGTACATACGTGTACATGTACATGTAACTAATCAAGCGAGTTAAGTTCATTTGCCTAAAACTTGCAAAGTCTTAAGTTGCAGTCGCAGTTCTACTAGGGGCTGGGGAGGGTTTTAACCCCCTCCCATCCTTTGTTTAGCCCCCCCCCATGTAAAAAATGAAACAGCAGAAGTGAAAGTTAAAAGGTGGCGTCACGTGCGAAGGTTCTAATCCCCCTCCAAACAAAACAAACACAAGTTGATGCCTGCAGGCTCGGTTTACTAATTACAGCTAGACAAAATGCGACTTGACTTGTACACTTGGACAAAAAGATTTGTGACTCGCTTGTGTTTAGACCAACTTTGACTTGTGACTTGACTTGACCTGTGATCAGATGACTTGTGACTTGGCTTGTGGCTTGATCAAATGACTTACGACTTGGCTTGTGACTGGATCAATTGACTTCGGATTTGGCTTTAGACTTCCACTGAAAACTTGACTTGTTATTTGACTTGACCCGTAATCAGATGACTTATGACTGGATCAAGTGACTTGTGACTAATGACTTGTGACCGGATCAAATGACTTGTGCTTGGCTTTAGCTTCCACAAAATGACTTGAGACTTGACTTGGACTTGCAAAAATTGACTTGCTATACCCTCCCTCTCATTGCTACATCACTTGAATAACCGAGGTATAAGCGTGCCTTCTGCTTACTGTCTCGGCGTCGTGATAATAGACCTCAGTTGCATACATGTACATGAAATGTTTTTCAGTGTAATCTTAGATTCAAGTACTATTATATGCCTTGCCGGTATTATCAACGAAACTTGCTATTTTCCACCGACAAAATAGTTCTTGTTACAGTAGTAATCGGAGTAAGATTTTCCGTGTTGGCATGGAGTTTGACATAAAATCGTTCGTTTGTTTTACTCTGGCTTGCATAGATCCTTTACACTACTCGTTTTTTTTTACCACAGTTCGGGATGGTCCCCAAATTGAAGACCCCGACGTCATTTGTCAAAGTACTACAAAATACATGTACATGTATGCCTGTGCACTATTGTCTATACTGTAAATCCCAAGCGTTTAACGTCTATAAGCGCAAATCTGTAACACTTTTAACACATTTAAAAATAAACACATCATCATCTTTACATGTTGATTACACTATTTTTATTTAATAAACGCAAAGTATCTTTAAATATCTGCATGTGTTTACCACTAAGCTAAGTTTTTAAACACTTTGTAATAATAAATACGTTCGCGTGTTTATTACTTAAACGCCTATAAACATGTGTACAAACTTTAACACCTTTAAACACTTTGACACGTTTATAAAGGTTGCAATGTTTATTAACAGCACATTATTAAGGGAATAAATAAAAAAAATTGCCGGTCTTAAACGAGCTAGAAGACAGGCTCAGAAGAATGGACGTTACTCATGCCCTCGCCTGCGGCTCGGGCATTATCATTGTTCGCATTCATAATTACCTTTTTAGTCAGAGAGTCAAAAGAAGTTAACATGTGGTGGATTTCCAACAATTTTGTTCTAAAATGTTACTTTCATTTTCCCCAGCCCCCTGTTCATTTTATGGTATATCCCTTTTGAAAGCTGTCAAACAGAATCCCCTTTAATGAACTTGGCGCGCGCGTGGCGCGTCGATAACGCGTCGTGTGCACACAGACAGCTGACGAATTAGACCGGATTAAACTGTCTCGTATCCATGTGCCAGCGCGAGATTTACGCAGCGGGTATTATCACTTCTCAGGGGGCATTATTATACACATACGGACTGTCGCTGGACTAGGTCACTAGTGCACGTCTGTGTGCCCGAAGGAATGTGAGTGGCCTTCGGGTCACTTACAGGCCCGAGGGGGCGTGGGCGTGCAATATTGACCGAATTCGGCTAGTCCATGTGTTTTATAACACACTGCAAACTAGAAAAATATTCTTTCAGGGTTTTAACTGTTTTAATTCAACTTTCAATAGCACTTTAAGAATTGCCAAAACATTGAAGGTTAATAACACACCGCAAACTAGAAAAATATTCTTTCAGGGTTTTAATTGTTTTAATTCAACTTTCAATAGCACTTTAAAAATTGCCCAAAAATTGAAGGTTAATTATTTCTCATAGACGCAGTCTAATTTTCAGTCACTGTATACAACTAGGAAAAGAAATTTTCCAGGGTTTGAACTGTTTCAATTCAGGACAACCTCAAGAGGGTGCAATAACCAGTCAAAATTGTTCAAGACCAGTACCTAACGCGTTTATGAAACGGGCGGATTAGGCTTAAACTTCGGTTTCGCTATTCCCAGTCAGATCTGGAACGTGTACTTTCAAACGTTGCTCTGGAATTGATGCGCACACAATGTCTAGGCGCGTGTCGAGTCACGCTGATGCCAAATTCATGTACTAGCCTAATAAGTGAACCACACGTGACCGTATTCCAGCTAACCAGGATGAAGAACCAGGAAAGGGTGTGTTATAACAAATTTAAACGTCCTCAGGTTTTACAGTGAAGCTTCCTGTCGTTTAATTATTCCCCATCAGCGATTCGTGGGAAATATTACATGAGGATAGCCAAAAACCGATGTTATTTCCTGGTATGATTTCTTGAACGGTATGTCAGTCCACCACACAGAGCGAATAAACAGACTGCTCCGAGAAGACGCCATAGGGCCATGAATGCAGTTGCATAGACCTTTTCACTCATAGCAAAAACGAATTCATGGGATTTTCCGAAGAAAAAACTAAACAAGCCAGAAAACCTGAGAGAAAATGATCATCCAAATTCGCACCCCTGTACGTTTCAATGGCCCGCTCAAACTTCCTGCCGCCAACGCCATTTGTGCGCATGCGTGCATAATTATGAATATATTAGTGGCAACGTCTTTTGCACTCACATGCGCGGTCTTCAGCTTGACGTGTGAGTGCATTTGGCAATAAAGCCTGAAAGTTGACCCCTGATGGTGGCGCGCTTCCGGAGCCCTTGGATAGGAAAAATAACGTGCAAAGATTGTAGAATTTGTAATATTTTTTCGTTCAGTTTCTTCTTAAAATATCCGACTTGGAAAAGGGCTTTGAAAAAAAATTGGCTAGTAAAGTAATTTATAGAAACTAAAAATTACCTGACTTAAAAGAGAAATATCCTGCCAAAATTGACCCATCACTTCCGCAAATCTAAAATACATGACGAAAAGTGCAACACGGCAGTCTTGTACGCAGATGAATATTTACGGTTCGAAATTTTGTGGTGGTCTGAGGGTAAAAACCAAAATAAAAAGAGATCAAAATATTGTGCAAGGTTTAATAATTTATAAGGTAATAAACATAATCGGTCACCCCACTTTCACATGCCCCGGCACACCCCTGCACGCGAAATGCACGAGACCTGGGCTCCAACGGCACGCGCAAAAGAATGGGTATTGGGTGCGAGGCTTTTGTTGGAATGGTTGGGGCCACCTCTGAAAAGGGCCCTTAAAGCAATATTCTACTTTTACAAAAGATTCTAATATTTTATGTAACCGTTGCTGACAACAACTGCGTGATGTCAACTCAACGGAATCTGGAACCCATCGACTGCAGGTAGGTAAAATCCTTGCAAGGTTGTACAATCTCGTTTTCCAGAAAGCACAGCGAGTGAAAACAAACGTGCATAAAGAAGGAGACCTAGGTACGATATCACCGGACGTGAAAGGTCGTTAATAAAATTCGTTTTTTACCCATCTCTAGGTGAGTTTTCCAAAATATTACTTGAGGAAGACAAAGGCAAAATTCCAACTTGAATGTTTCATGGGGTGGTTTCAGTAAGAAATTATTTTTCAAAAAATATCGATCTTGCAGGATGGCCCAATGTAAACTCCCCATAGGAGGACCACGCAAGGGTTCCGGAAGCTCAGTCGATGCGTGACCTTTTACTTTCAGGCTCTATTAAAAGCATGTGCGCCCCCACTGCTACCAAGATTGCTTTTAGCGAATCATTTCAGTTTTCCAACAGCGCCTGTCCCAATGGGACGTACGTGCGAGATCTGTCCTACGTATAGACTCTTGTTTTGTTCCCGAATAACCCCGCGTTTTCGAAATTTCGAACTGGTTTATCCTTGTATTTCCAGCACGATATGTGACAAAGGGGGGCCCTCCCTAATGTGATGCACAAGCTATATACCTCAAGGCTATTTTCATTCTCAATGGTCCATACTGCTGCATGGCGTGATACATGTCAAGCATATGTGTACCTGTACAGATAGGCTGCTTGTATGCACATGTACATATATCCCTACCTGCAAACGTACATGTACTTGTCATACTTCTGTCTTGCATACTGTCTGTTCATTGGCCCAGAATGAACACATGATAGGGCGATATATCCGCATATCAATCTCACCGTGAGACATCTTGCTCTGCCGCTATCACATGCTTGCACATAAGACAAAAGAGCTTTGGAAAGTTCGAGAGCGATCGTTGTGGTTCTGTAAGTCACATCTGCATTCTGTGGCCGTACTTCACGTGACAAAAAAAGGCGCAGCGTAACAAGTGTTTATGTTGCTTTGGATTAACCGATCCATTAATTGTGACTACTCTCGTTAAGATTATATATACATGTAGAGACATCAGGGAAATCTGTGGTCAGGGAACCACAATTAATGCAGATGTGTGCGGATCATCAAGGGATTCATAAGTCACGATGGTGGAAAAAAGCTCATTTTTTGCCAATAATGTAGGTTACACTCTCCAAAAGACACACATGCCCAGTAGTTTCATATTATAGGTTCTCTTTTATCATGGGCTTTTAAGGGGAAGATTTGATCAAGAAAGCGCAAAGAGACATTTGCTTTGGTACGATTGCAGGGCACTTTTCAATTACCGTTGCATAAGGAACCATGAAACATCAGGAATCAGTAGGCCCTGGCAGTAGTGCCTTACTATTCAAGCATGTCAGGAAGTATAGACCTACATGACTCATATATCGTATGACTATGACAGTATGAGATACATATATACAGTGCGTAGCTATAGCTCATCCAGTAGCCATACATGTACATGTACGTGTCAGCAAGGCTTTTGGTTGTAGTGTGGCAGTATTATACTTTAAAAGTGTCTGTACCTGGAGATTGAAATCAAATAAGGAATAGGCCTAATGGAAAAATACCTCATCTCATGTCTCATGTGTGGTTTTGAAATTACAAAATGTTGTTATTACAAAAATATTAGAACACAAATCATCAGGTCGCGTCACGGCGTACATTAATAAACCGTTAAACGTACCAAATAACAAAAAGTAGACTAGTAGAACTGTTCCCTGGTATGTTACCCACGTTGAGAAACAAAGAGTATACTTGTGCCTCAATGCCGAATCTGTACTGTCTTTTATTAAAAGGCAACACGTTAAAGCAGTGTTAGGTAAGACCTACAAATAGTATTCGTAACTGTTTTACAGTGTTTACCACATCTTGTGCAATATTTTACGTACGTACCATCACACTTATCGTGTAGCGCCGCGTAGCTGCGCCGCTATACGATCTTTGGTACCATGTTCAGTTAGTCTGGTTCCCAGAACTTCACAAGATTCCCTCAACACCATGAGGATAATTCTGTCTGGGATTCAGACTAGTACAAAGCCTGCCCAGGATGCGTCCGGGTGTTACGGCTGTGGCTGTTTTAAATAAATAAAACGTGCCCCTTTGGGGGAATGGAGGTCACTGTCCAGTTGCATGCTGCAGCGCCGGCCGGGCACACGGCCGACTTAGGGCAGTCCCAGCCCTAGACTTCACTCAAGTCTTGAAGTGGTACGGACTTCAAGTTCAGCAACTGTGTTCTGTTTTGTACATCATCGTTAATTGTTTAACAAATGAAGATGCTTATTTCATTCATTGAATTAATCAATAAAGAATTATTAATAGGCTCACCTTTCAGAAAAAAAAAACTTGAAAATGTAAACAAAATTGTTCAATTATTATTCTCGTTTTCCAGACCTTATTTTTGCTCATCTCGTCAAGAATAACTTGATTACTTACTGGGAGCTGAGACAGTAAAAAGAACCAGCTTGGTCTGTCCAAAGTGTTGTTTCTCTTCTCTTAATCAAATAGTTTTATTGTTATATTTTACATGTTAATTAATAAACACCGAAGTTCAATAAACTGTGGCAAGAGAAGGATTGAGACAGTTATTTCCACAATAGCTTAAATCCCATGAAGAAAAAACAAGCAACAATTTCCCCATTACCGTCCATAATATATTTAAAAAAAAAACAGACTGCAAGATTCTAGGAAAGTGCATGACTTGTATTATTTTTGTTTGTTTTAGAATGTGGACGGCTGGAATTTCGTTCGAGGAAAAAAAGGTTCGTAGATCCACACATGATGAAGTAATCCTTTATATAAAGTACAAATGACATACATATCCTAATACGGGAGTGAAAACAAATGTAATGGTATAACATTTGAAAGAAGTCTTTATATGTCGAATTCACTTCCTCTAGCGCTTTCTGTCTCTGTATTGCCAACCAAAGATAATTCAAGAGCCTTCTTGCCTTTCTATATGAAGTGTGTCTTGTCGAAAACATACTTTATCACTTGAAGTGTCTGTAACGACAAGAATTCAATATTATTGTTAGAAAGGCAAGTTTTCATGTTGTCAATACGAATATTCAAAATTGCCCTCAATTCGCTTAAGTAATATTTCCCCGTATATGTGTTCATGGCTTGGCAAGAGCTTGTGAAAACCCACAAACCTTTTTTGGAAGGAGGGGTCAAGCCTCGAATGCCAGGCCACTTGCAACTGTAGTGCTGATCGACGTCTTGGCACTCGAATATTGAGATAGTCTGCTTGGCTGATCTATTGGTAGTGTGTATACAGCAAATTCGTTATCTGGTCAGTTTGAAAAATGCATAACTCTTTGTGTTTTGTTTCCAATTGGGCAAATGCTATTGGGCCCATCCACCCCCCCAAAAAGGAGCTTTTTTTTTGAAGAAATAGTGAAAGAAATTTTCAAGAAGGGTATTTCATTTCACTTCGATTAAAAAGTGTGTAAAAAAGTCCCAAAGTTTGGCCTCAGCCCTCAAAAAGGCCATAAAAGAGCTGGCATTCGTGTAATCATGTTATTAATGCCAAGCATTTGGTATCATGTAATACATGTAATACTGTGAAAATGTAGTACATAGTGGAAATTGTTGTAACACGCGCCGGAAAGTTTAGGTACATACGTGTACATGTAACTAATCGAGCGAGTTAAGTTCATTTGCCTAAAACTTGCAAAGTCTTAAGTTGCAGTCGCAGTTCTACTAGGGGCTGGGGAGGGTTTTAACCCCCTCCCATCCTTTGTTTAGCCCCCCCCCATGTAAAAAATGAAACAGCAGCAGTGAAAGTTAAAAGGTGACGCACGTGCGAAGGGTCTAGTCCCCCTCCAAACAAAAGTTGATGCCTGCAGGCTCAGTTTACTCATTACAGCTAGATAAAATGCGACGTGACTTGAATACTTGGACAAAAAGATTTGTGACTCGCTTGTGTTTAGACCAAATTGACTTGTGAGTTGACTTGACCTGTGATCAGATGACTTGTGACTTGGCTTGTGGCATGATCAAATGACTTACGACTTGGCTTGTGACTGGATCAATTGACTTCGGACTTGGCTTTAGACTTCCACTGAAAACTTGACTTGACCCGTAATCAGATGACTTATGACTGGATCAAGTGACTTGTGACTAATGACTTGTGACTGGATCAAATGACTTGTGCTTGACTTTAGACTTCCACAAAATGATTTGAGACTTGACTTGGACTTGCAAAAATTGACTTGCTATACCCTCTCTCTCATTGCTACATCACTTGAATAACCAAACTTTCCTCCGTGGTATAAGCGTGCCTTCTGCTTACTGTCTGTAAATAAGAAATACGCAGAGCCGCTGTTCGCTTGAAATTGTGTGCTAAGCGGCGCCGTGATAATAGACCTCAGTTGCATATATGTACATGAAATGTTTTTCAGTGTAATCTTAGATTCAAGTACTATTATATGCCTTGCCGGTATTATCAACGAAACTTGCTTTTTTCCACCGACAAAATAGTTCTTGTTACAGTAGTAATCGGAGTAAGATTTTCCGTGTTGGCATGGAGTTTGACATAAAATCGTTCGTTTGTTTTTCTCTGGCTTGCATAGATCCTTTACACTACTCGTTTTTTACCACAGTCCGGGATGGTCCCCAAATTGAAGACCCCGATGTCGTTTGTCAAAGTACTACAAACTACATGTACACGTGTGCCTGTCTATACTGTCTATACTGTAAATCCCAAGCGTTTAACGTCTATAAGCGCAAATCTGTAACACTTTTAACACATTTAATAATAAACACATCATCATCTTTACATGTTGAACACACTATTTTTATTTAATAAACGCAAAGTATCTTTAAATATCTGCATGTGTTTACCACTAAGCTAGGTTTGTAATAATAAATACGTTCGCGTGTTTATTACTTAAACGCCTATAAACATGTGTACAAACTTTAACACCTTTGAACACTTTGACACGTTTATAAAGGTTGCAATGTTTATTAACAGCACATTATTAAGGGAATAAATAATCATGTGGTTTGCCAGTTTTAAACGAGCTAGAAGACAGGCTCAGAAGAATGGACGTTACTAATGCCCTCGCCTGCGGCTCGGGCATTATCATTGTTCGCATTCATAATTACCTTCTAGTCAGAGAGTCAAAAGAAGTTAACATGTGATGGATTTCCAACGATTTTGTTCTAAAATGTTACTTTCATTTTCCCCAGCCCCCTGTTCATTTTATGGTATATCCCTTTTGAAAGCTGTCAAACAGAATCCCCTTCAATGAACTTGGCGCGCGCGTGGCGCGTCGATAACGCGTCGTGTGCACACAGACAGCTGACGAATTAGACCGGATTAAACTGTCTCGTATCCATGTGCCAGCGCGAGATTTACGCAGCGGGCATTATCACTTCTCAGGGGGCATTATTATACACATACGGACTGTCGATGGACTAGGTCACTAGTGCACGTCTGTGTGCCCGAAGGAATGTGAGTGACCTTCGGGTCACTTACAGGCCCGAGGGGGCATGGGCGTGCAATATTGACCGAATTCGGCTAGTCCATGTGTTTTATAACACACCGCAAACTAGAAAAATATTCTTTCAGGGTTTTAACTGTTTTAATTCAACTTTCAATAGCACTTTAAAAATTGCCAAAACATTGAAGGTTAATTATTTTTCATAGACGCAGTCTAATTTTCAGTCACTGTATACAACTAGGAAAAGAAATTTTCCAGGGTTTGAACTGTTTCAATTCAGTCAGATCTGGAACGTGTACTTTCAAACGTTGCACTGGAATTGATGCACGCGCAATGTCTAGGCGCGTGTCGAGTCACGCTGATGCCAAATTCATGTACTAGCCTAATAAGTGAACCACACGTGACCGTATTCCAGCTAACCAGGATGAAGAGCCAGGAAAAGGTGTGTTATAACAAATTTAAACGTCCTCAGGTTTTACAGTGAAGCTTCCTGTCGTTTAATTATTCCCCATCAGCGATTCGTGGGAAATATTACATGAGGATAGCCAAAAACCGATGTTATTTCCTGGTATGATTTCTTGAACGGTATGTCAGTCCACCACACAGAGCAAACAAACAAACAAACACCCCAACACCCCAACAAACAAACAAACAAACAAACAGACTGCTCCGAGAAGCCATAGGGCCATGAATGCAGTTGCATAGACCTTTTCACTCATAGCAAAAACGAATTCATGGGATTTTCTGAAGAAAAAACTAAACAAGCCAGAAACCTGAGAGAAAATGATCATCAAAATCCGCACCCTGTGCGTTTCAATGGCCCGCTCAAACTTCCTGCCGCCAACGCCATTTGTGCGCACGCGTGCATAATTATGAATATATTAGTGGCAACGTCTTTTGCACTCACATGCGCGGTCTTCAGCTTGACGTGTGATTGCATTTGGCAATAGAGCCTGAAAGTTGACCCCTGATGATGGCGCGCTTCCGGAACCCTTGGATAGGAAAAATAACGTGCAAAGATTTTAGAATTTGTAATATTTTTTTCGTTCAGTTTCTTCTTTAAAAATCCGACTTGGAAAAAGGGCTTTGAAAAATATTTGCTAGTATAGCAATTTATAGAAACTGAAAAATCACCTGACTTAAAAGAGAAATATCCTGCCAAAATTGACCCATCACTTCCGCAAATCTAAAATACATGACGAAAAGTGCAACACGGCAGTCTTGTACGCAGATGAATATTTACGGTTTGAAATTTTATGGTAGTCTGGGGGTAAAAACCACAATAAAACAGATCAAAATATTTTGCAAGGTTTAATAATTTATAGGTAATAAACATAAAGCAATATTCTACTTTTACAAAAGATTCTAATATTTTATGTAACCGTTGCTGACAACAACTGCGTGATGTCAACTCAACGG